TTTGTGCATTGACTACACATGGGATACGCGTATTTAAGCGTTGCAAGCTGTGATAAGCAATGCGTAAATGAGTAAAGGCGCAAGTAACAGTATGATGAATCCCCGATGGTCGCAACTGCATCGGTAGGCGATGCGACAAAAAAGGATCCAAAAAGGGTTGGTAAACACAGCCTGCGAAAATCGCGCTGCAAAGAAGGGTACCTTTAAATACGCAATCGATTTCGATAATGAGCCCGTCGTAAAAGGCTTGGGTAATCCGAAACAAAAGTAGTTTATGGATTGAGTAATGAATAGTGTGCTTTAGTAGACAATGGGAAGGTAAGGCAGATTTCAAACACAACTTTAATTGGTTGTACATGTATTTATAGAGGGTATGCTGGTGTAATGCATAGTGCATTCCGATCAAATGACGAAAGTCCAGAAGTTATGGCAGGCGACGAAGCGAGGGATTCAGCAATTGGCTGAGACATACCTGGACACGGATTTCACAACTGTTACACGGGACAGTACACTCAGTGGATATGCTCTCTTAGGTCAGATGTAAACGTGGTCGGAGTCTTTGCATGGCCCATTATTTGATTGGTGAATCTATCCGGTGTACGTTTACTCCATTTTTCGTCTAACAGTGCTTTGAGATAAGTAGTTTTTGTAATGTTGCGTTACCAATATGATGTCTTCTAATTTTGTTTGTTTAAAGATTTTGGCTAACGGCTTAATAATCGTGGTACGCATGAGGCTAGAAAATTAAGAGTAGGCGATATCAGAAACGATTCCATGAAGGCTACTTACTGCAAGAAGACAGATACGTTGAAAAGGTGGACAGTACGGTGTCGTCTTTTGTTTGAGCTAGATTTCCCTGTAGGATATACGTAATTGAAACTGCAGTATCCCATTCACACTGGCAGACGTAAGGGAGCGTGAAAACGAACAGGATGCAAAACAGTCTGGCAAGACGACACTAGCAAGCAAGAAGGCAGAGCTGGAAATGCATAACGCACAAGCTAACCCGAAAAAGCCGTGCGGCAAACGGCGGCGGATTCTTGCAACTCTCTGACAGTCAGATACAACGGTGGAGTTTTAAAAAACAGAGCCAGGAAAAGCTAGTCGGCTTGCATATTTTGCCTATACACTCGCTTACGTGCAAATGGAAACATTAAGGGCTCTAATCAACCACCCAGCCGACACTAGATAGACGACTGTCAAAAACCTTTCCATAAAACCGTTCCTGAAGGTTAAAATTGGTTTAAAGCCTAGCGTGGAACAGTTTATGCAACAAACAATCAGGAAACCGGCATACGAACTGACCTTGCTGTGTGATCGGTCGTAACATTAAAGTTCCTGTGCAAACGACGGTCCAAAATAGACACGCGGCACGGCTACAAATCACTGACTGGTATTATGGGAGACTAGGGAGAAGGTGCAGTGGGTTTTG